TCCTCCTCCTCCTCCTCCTCCTCCTCCTCCTCCGCAACCTACTCTTCTCCCTTCCTACTCCTTCCGCCGCCCCGAAAACGCCGCGGAGATCCCGGGAGCTCCCGCCCGGCCGCCATCTGCAGGGCCAGAAGCGCTCTCACCAGCGCCCGCGACGGGTGCGACCGAGTCGGCCCCCTTGACCTTGACGACGGTGGGCTCATGCCCCGACGCTGCGTCCCCGCTGATCGTGACCTCTGGATACTCATACCGGGGACCTTCCTGGAGACACTCACTCCACTCGTGCGTCGAAGCTGCGCCAAGCGTCCGTCGATCTGGGTCGACCCAGCCGATCCCCGGGTCGAACCTGAGTCGAGCCTGAGTCGAACGAGAGTCGAACAGACCCGTTGGCCGGGCCCCGGGAAGGTCCCCAGGACGAGCAGCGGATGGCCTCGTGCTTGGCCTTGTCCGCGCCGAGCTTCGTGAGGGCCCCCACCTCGCCCGCGTGGGCCTGCGGGGGCCCGCCGCCCTGCCGGAGCACGACGACCTGCTGCCCCTGCCGCAGGCTGGGCCCGCGAGGCCGCCGCAGAGGAAGACACAGCGGCTCGCGTAGGGGGCCACGTGCGAGCCCCACCCCTCCCCCCCCCAACGACTTCTGAGGGGGAGGAGGAGGAGGAGGGAGGGAGGGGAGGAGGAGGAGGAGGAGGAGGAGGAGTAGGAGGAGGAGGAGGAGGAGGAGGAGGAGGAGGAGGAGGAGGTGGAGGAGGAGGAGGAGGTGGGGTTCGCTTCGCTTGAGAGCTCCCGAGCGAAGCGGACCCCACCCTCCCCCCGAGAAGTCGTGGGGGGTAGGGGTAGGGTTCGCACGTGGCCCCCCGATCGCTGCAGTCGGGGTCGACGGGCGAGGGCACCCCAGACTGAAGTCGGGCCTCTCCCTCTACGGGAGGAACATTCAGAAATGGTCCAAAAATATATAGTCCTAGTCCTTGGCCATTCTGGGGCATTGTTTGACTATTTGCCCTCGCCGGGCCCTGGGACCGTCAGAAAGCGACTCGGGATGCGAAACTGGTCCCAGGGAACGGGTCGAGACTTCCGAGGGCCGCGCACTGAAAAAGTCAGGACGTCGCATGTCTAGGACGCGAGAGGACACAAGACCCTTCTGCGGGGCGCATTGCTACAGGACTGCAGAGAAAGCATGGGTCACGGGGCACGGGACACGAGGCACCCTTGATGTGGCAGAGTCGACCTGCTAAGCAGCCTCGACTGCAAGCATAATCTTTCGGCGGTCCCCGCGGACCTCTTAGATCTGCGCTGGATCCCCCTGGCGGTGCCTCCAGCGCCGCCCCCGGCGCGCCACGCGCGCCAGGGAGGAGAGGCCCAGCGCAGATCCAAGAAATCCACGCAGACCGCCGACAGTGTCTGTTGCTGCTGCTTATTCCTCTTCGATGCTTGGCCACCGCGTCTGCGTCCACTTCGATGTGGTACAGTCGTCCCAGCAGCTTCTGGAGGGCGGAGCTGTGCCTCTTCTGCGAGAGCAGGGACTTCTGCTTCTGGAGGAGGTCGTCCACGATGTCCCGTATCTCCTTAAGAGATTTGACCTGCGAAAAGGCTGGAAGGTCTACGTGGTGCACGAGCTGGCCGACTGAAAGAACTAGGGGTGGGCCAGACCAAAGCGGAGGAGAAGCAGCAGCAGCACTAGTACACCCTGCGAGATGCTTAAGAAATCATGGGTTAAGAAATTCATAGTCTCAGAATTTGAATAAAAACCCAGAATTCCTTTCGAAATCTTAGGATTTACATTGAAACGTTAAGAATTCTCGAGACTCTGGCCGAAAACTTTGGTTTTCTTAAGCATCGCCTAGAGTGTATGAGGGCGCGTACATGGTCGTCTTCGCGGGAGGTGTGGTGTAGCAAAACGAGTTGTAACGGAAGATATGTGGCGCCATCGACCGTAAGAGTAGCAGCAGAAGACGCACTCGCGAAAGCAGAAAAGGTGACACGATAGTGGTCGCATCAGCCACAGTGCAAAATGGAAGTGGTACGAAATGCTCCGCCGACCCCCACTTGCCTCGAGTGAAAAAGCGTGCGAATAGATTGGCTGTCACTCATCCCTCTTTCCCGCTCCCCTGGGGCCTCAAAGCCCGTTCGAGGGCGGGGGGGCTGGAGAAGGGCTCGGGGGAGGAGGGTACGAGCTCGTCAACGCGCCTCTGGGGCCCTCGGAGGCTCAAAATCCATGCTCAACACATATATATATATACATACATACATACATACATACGTATGTATGGTTTCTGAGCTGGCTGAGCTGGCTCCAGAAGCGCTCTGGCACGCCAGAGAGGCCTCAAGAACACCCCAGATAGCCTCGAGACGGCCCAAGACGCCGAAAGAGGACCCCAAGAGGACCCTCGAGAGCCTCCAGTGGCAAATCAGATTGATGCTCAAAATTTCCAGCCTGATGTCAACATTCTCGCCTTTTCGGGCCTCTGCAATTCCAAAACGGAGCGAAAGGCCCCCCGGACTGGCGCAAGACGGCACAAGAGGCCTCCAAGAGGGCCTGGAGACGGTCCATGAAGGCCCCGAGACGGCCCAAGAAGCAAAACGGAATGTAAAACCGCCAAGAGGCGCCAAAAGGAACCGAAGCGAGGCCCACGTGCGGGAACCCGCAGGGACCCCGGTAACCCTCCCCTGCAAGATGGCCCACAAGACCCCAAACATGACCCCAAGAGGCCCCTTCTCTTCACCACCCGGGGACCCAGACATGCGACGTCGCGAAATTGCTCAATACGCGATCCCCGGAAGTCCCGACCCGTTCCCCGGGGCCAGTTTTCCATCCGGAGTCTTTTCTTGACGGTCCCAGGGCCCGGCGAGGGCTTCGGCCGAGAGCGGCGACACACTTCCGTCCAAATTTTGCTTAACAGCGCGATCAGGTCTAAGAGGGTCCCCCCCCCCAGAGCCACCCGCCCCGACCACCCCTGGAGCTCTCTCTTCCGGCCAGCATGGTCAGGTCGCCATTGCACCCCACCTGCAGTCCTGGCCACGGGGGGGAGGCCAGGCCGCGCCTCCCGCACCCCTCGCCCGGGAGGGGGGGGAAGGGGATCCAGACCCCCGCGGGTTATGAAAAAATCGTGACGGGGAGTTGTTCGCTATTTTCGGCCTCTGGGGGCCCTTCCCGACCCTCGGGGGCGTCAAAAGACGGCTAGGGATGAAAAACCGGCCCCGGGGAATGGGTCGAGACCCCTGTGGGCGTCGACGTGAAAACAAATCATGACGTCGGGGGTCTGGGGAGGATCCGGGAGGAGGGAGGAAGCTGTGGAATCTGCGCGATACGACAACGTTAGTCATCTCAGGAGGGCGCATCTTGTCAAAAAGTTGCGCCGGGACAGGACATGACGCCCGTCCACTCGCGGCCACCTGCCCCGGGGTAGTGTGTCTCTGGTAGTGCAGGGGGGAACGACACACCCGCCTCTGGAGACGACGCAGGTCCTGGTGCAGCGGACCCCGCTGCGCCGACCCTACTACTTTGGGTCAGCTACACGGACACAGGAGGGCAAGAGTTGCCAGACCTGTGAAATGAACCAATGGTGCGAGGGAGACGAACCCTCCACCACGGCAGAGAACGGCCGCTTACTTCGTCACCGGCACCCTGAGTCGAGCAAGGGTGGCCGAGCATGGGCCCGAGTCCGAGCATGAGCTCAAGCCCAAGGCCTCGGCACGAGTCAGAGCCCGAGCCCGAGTTCGACCCCGAGCCCGAGCCTGGACCCAAACCCGAACCCGAGAACTAGGGCCTGCGCCTGGGCCCAAATCTGAGCCCGAGTCCAAGCCCGAACGCGCCTGCGGGGGGGAGAGAGGAGGGAGAAGGGAGGAGGGAGGAGGGAGGAGGACTGAGGAGGGAGGGAGGAGGGAGGAGGAGGGAGGAGGGAGGGAGAAGGACAAACTATGGGTTCTCCCGCTTCCCTCCACCTCCTCCTCCGCCGCCTCCTCCTCCTCCGCCGCCTCCTCCTCCTCCGCCTCCGCCTCCGCCTCCGCCTCCGCCTCGCTCCTCCTCCTCCTCGTGTTATTATGATTATGTGTAGTAGTCTGGCTCATAATAATGGTACTTGTTCTTCTTACTACAATGGATATGATTATTATTAGTATGTGTACTACTCTTCCATGCTTATCATACTTAGCACTAGTAGTATCAGCATTGATAGTATCATAAGTCAAATTCGTACGCCTCTTATGTGTCTTAGTGTTCGTGTTCGTCGTCTCATGCTTAGTGTTGCTAGTAGCAGCACTATTACGATGGTTCGTAGCATTAGTCTCATGTGTTATGTTTATCATGTGTCTCAGTGTTAGTGCTGATCTTATTCTTGCAATTATCCGAAATAATATTATTCGTCGGACGAGTTGTTCGCATTATTATTCGTAGTCGTATATGTTTTGTATTGTTGTTCGTGCCCGTCTTCTTCTGATTATTATCAGTCTGACGATTCGTAGTATGTTTCGTCTTATTATTCTTCGTATTATCACTAGTAGTACTATCATTGCGTGTCTTCCTCCTCCTCCTCCTCCTCCTCCTCCTCCCCCTCCTCCGCCTCATCCTCCTCCTCCTCCTCCGCCTCCGCCTCCGCCTCCGCCTCCGCATCATCCTCCTCCTCCTCCTCCTCCTCCTCTTCCTCTTCCTCCTTCTCATCCTCCTCCTCCTCCACATCCTCCTCCTCCTCCTGCTCCTCCTCCTCCGCCCCCGCCTCCGCTTCCGCCTCCGCCCTCCTCCTCCTCCGCCTCCTCCTCCTCCTCGTCTTCCTACTCCTCCTCCTCCTCCTCGTCCTCCTCCTCCTCCTCATCCTCCTCCTCCTCCTCCCCCTCTCCCTCTCCCTCCCCCTCCTCCTGCTCCAATTCCTTATCCATAACTGGGGCCAGGCGTTTCATCATTTACGACACCTAAGTTTCAAGCTTAGCAACAAAAGTTTCACAGATCGTGGGCGGGCCGTTTTCGAAATGTGGTCATCGCCTCAGCGCCGCGCACATTTTTCAAATTGCAAGAGCTTCACATATTGAGAGCGGGGGGGGAATGTGACTCTCGCTTTTTACGCCGCGCAAATTCATTGTAAACAGTTGCAAAAAAGAGTTTGACGGATTGGAGGCGGGTCGATTTCAAAATATGGCTCTCGCCGTAGCGACGCGCACATGCGTTCTGGTTAAAGGCCAGAGTTCACGGATCGAGGGCGGCTCGTTTTCAAAATGTGGCTCTCGCCTCAGCTCCGCGCACATTCGCTTTAAAGAATTGCCAGCATGTCACGGACTCCCGTGGTCAATGTACCAGAAGTGGCGTGTTGAAAAGATTACGGGTTATGAGGGTGCAACAATTACGCTGAATCGTGGTGCTGAAGTCCCAGGGATGGCATCCTGGCACGATTTTGGATCGCCGACACGCAACAGCCAGGTTGATCCGAGGCGTCGGAGACCCGAGAAAAATGGTCTGGCATGCCTCAGGGTATTCAGACTGTTGTCTTCCAACGACGCAGTACCCTCAGTGGAAATGAACCCTTGCGGGGGCCCGTAAAGAGGGTGCTTGGAGGAAGGGTCGATTCCAACATCGTTGATGCTGCTTGGGTTTACACTGGTCCTCCTCCTCCTCCTCATCATCAGCATCAGCACCATCATCATCATCATCATCATCATCATCATCATCATCATCATCAGCATCATCATCATCATCATCATCATCATCATCATCAGCATCACCATGATCATCAGCATCAGCATCATCATCAGCATCAGCATCATCATCAGCATCATCAGCATCATATCATCATCATCATCATCATCATCATCATCATCATCATCATCATCATCATCATCATCATCATCATCATCATCATCATCATCATCATCATCATCATCATCATCATCATCTCTCATCCATCTCGGGAGGGAGAAAGGAGAGGGGTGGAGGGAGAAGGAGAAGGGTGGGGGGGGGTGCAACGGTTCGGCGGCGAGCGAGGGGGAAAATGTTGTGTTGCATCTTCAAGGGACATTGCATGTCCCGTCGCGCTGCGATCCGCATCGAAACCGTGTCAAATCTATGTCGAGCGTGTCGAGTCCGTGCCGAATCCGTGCCGAATCCACGTCGAATCCGAGTCAAACATACGTCGGAATACAAGAAAAGACTGCTAATTAGAGGACCCGTGAAGATGCAGAGTAAAAAGTGAGAAGGAGAAGGTCTTCTCAGAAGGCGGCGGGACTTCTCAGAAGCCCTCGCGCTTTCTGAGACGTTTCTTCTTCTTCTTCGGGGAAGGAGAGAGTCGCAGACATCCGGCGAGGTGCGTTGTTTCTCCGGAGTGGCCTTTGTCGGCGGCGAACGAGCGAAGGGGGGAAATGAGATGGAGAAGGCCTTCTCAAAAGCGGCGGGACTTCTGCGAGGCCCTGAATCCTTCTGAGAAATGTTCCGTGTCTTCGGGGAAGGCTTAGACAACGTCTCGGAAGGCAGGAAGACTGTCGAGCCTTCCGAGAGGGCCCGCCCCTTCTCGCTTCCCCCCCGGGCGCGCCGC